TGTGTGTGTGTGTGTGTGTGTGTGTGTGTGTGTGTGTGTGTGTTTAAATGCAGTATTAAAATATTGTTACTATGCCCATGTTTAGTTGACCTGAAACAAATGTCATGAATTGAATGATCATCCAAACATAGCTGGGAGCACAGGTCTCTGCTACTGTTATTTTGTGGGTCAAACGCTGAAAAGTTTGGGAACCACTGTCCTAGACCATATACTAATTAGCATCTTTATGGTTAAAACAATGAAACCTATTTATTTACAAATGCTGCTCATATCTTTACAAATTCAAATAAAATCCACTACAGGATATTTTAATGAACGTCAACACTGACATAATGAGGCATGTGAAACTGTTTTTCTGACTGAAAAATAAGATACTTTTTAACRAAGTCAGTCAAATCATAATCTAGCCTCATTTACTTTAAAAGGTTTAAACTAAGATATGAAACAGTGCCATTTAATAAGAAAGTCTTTATTTAACAGAGATTTTATTGTAAAATTTAGTTGTTTTTTTTTTTTTGTATTTTCCTGAACAGAGACTGTGATGTTTCATCATGAAAGGCACTAAAGAGCACTAAACATTAATGAACACAGATTCTCTCAGCTAAGAGCTAAAATAGTAGCAAAATTCATAAATCCTATATTTGTTTTCATGTTGGTTTCAGCAGCATAAAAACACAGATAACAAAAAAACTGAAAGCTTTGAACACAAAAATGAGAACGGTGTTAAACAAGTGTTAAAACTTTTATCCTTGTGTTTCAAAGCTTATGTGCAAATATATATTTCAATCATCCTTAGAAAAATAATGAATATAACTCCAAGGGCCACACTGTACAAGTACAGAACAAAATATATTTTTGCCAAAAAAAAAAAAAGTAAAACTAAAAAGTGGAGTGGAAATATCAGCACACATTTCAGTGGTTTTTGTTTGGTTTTAATCAGTCCCTGTTTACTGCTTTTAACAGTTTTTCTGCCAACATATTGCATAAGTGAGCATGTTAAAGATATTATCCACTAAATGTCACAAAGTTACACTTATTTCTTCACAGCAGGCATTACCGTTTTAAAGCTTTATAACAAAACGGGCGACAATGAAATAAACAAAAAGAAAAAAAAACATCTTGCAGAAATTTGACACATGGCTTACCGCAAGTACAAAAATAAACTTTACATAGTAAAACAGCCTAAACATTAAAAACATTCATCGCAGTAATGTGCAAACAATTTTACTCCTCCTTCTTCAAGCAGAAAATTTCTTCCATTTTATTGTTTTTGCACAGACAYCAGCGGTAAACCAAATCATCGCTTTCAAAGTAAAAGCACTCAGCAGGAGTCTGTCGCCAAGCTTGAAGTCTGTGAGGAGCTTATAGGCACTGATAAAAGTAGAATAAACGCAGAAAATGGCTCCATTTCACATCACTCCCTGCTCGGCATAGTTTTGCAGCTGGGCAGAGCTTTGAGGTGCTCCCAGTCTGCCTCGCTCTCGCAGCGCTGGACTTTGCTGAAAAATCTCTTGATGAGAACTTTGGCTTCACCTTTAACTGTAGAGAGATTAGAGATTAAATTATCAGTGGTGGGCAAAGCTAAACAAAATGTTAGCTTCACTAACTCATGATACTCTATCCAAACATATAGCTTCGTTAATGCTAAACTTGTAAAAAATTTGTAAAAGCTAACGCTAAACTGCTAAAGAAGTAAAAATTAACATTAGCTAATGCTAACAGCTAAGAGGACTGTCACAGTCTGCATCACATATCTTTGTCTCCTTCAAGCTGAGGACAGATGAGACTGACACAAACCTGTTGATGGGAGTTTGATAGCTAGCTGTTAGCAGACTTAAAGTTAAAATTTAATTTAGTGGAAGCTAAATGGTCTGCTAACAGTTTTCAAAGTTCAAAGAGCAGAAACTTATTGTCCAGAAAATACTGTAAAAGTTAGTTTCGTTAGTAGCTGTTAGCTAATTAGTGGAACCGTGTCCAGAACTGAGAGTTATTAAAAATAAAAGACAGACCCGTAAAACAAAGTGTTCCATCCCATCACCGTGCTCTGGTTACCTTTATCTTTATCTTGACCCTGATTCCTGTCCTCTGTCAGGAGGTGAGACAAGTAGCGAGCGAAAGACTTGAAGAGCTCCTGCAAAACATTTACTATATTAACGTTTGAACATGTTTCCCTTTAAGTTGATTTTCTGTAAATAAGTACKTCGTACCTTAGTGGCAAACTTTCCCTGAGTGTAAAAGGGGTCCAGATAATGGACCACGATATCAGCTGCTTCCTTTAGGGTCACGGGCTTGGGAGGCTTGGGGTCCGGCTGCAGGGACTTCTCCTGCACGGTGGGGTTGAAAGTCACCCGTCTTTTCGTCCCGTCTGCAGGCCGGCTGCGCTTCGCCAGAGACGTCACTCTCTCTGCTTTTACATCATTTGGGACCTGGAAACATGTCATTCCAGTTAAAGTTTAGATTCTTTGAAGTGGTACTCCAGGACTGATAGTGGAAATAAAGTATTTTGTTTGGAGAACCACTCGGGACTTCTGCTGGATCTGAATGAAAATTTTGTCAAGACCCAAGTCCCGCCCCCACCCTATTTCTCATTGGCTAAAAGGTGCGCCTCGGTTAGGTCCAGAGAAATGTTTGTTAAATCTCTGTCCAAAACCAATTTTTAACTGCCATCAGCCCTGGGTACTCTGTGAAAATGTGGTGGGCAGCTGTTCCCTTAGCTCTTTGAACAACCACAATTTTAAACAAGGTGAAACTTGATGTCAAAATGTCAATTTGAAGGAAATTTTGTAACCGATTAGATGAATATTAGATGTAGTTTTGTATTTTATACTTTCTGATCATTTCAGTCTTTAAGTTAAAGCAGACAAAGAGTTGGTGTGTGTCTTATCATGTGTTCTTTCTTAGTCTAAACAAAAATGAGTTACGTTCTGACGTCTGACGTAAAAGGTAACACCTCCAGATGTGTAACCAGGAAGAGATGAACATTATAAGCTCAATTCATGATTATAGTAAAAAGAAGTTGTCAGTGTGTTGCAGAGTCTCTGCTCAGAGCAGAGCAGTTGTCTTGTTTTGTTTTTTGTTTTGTTTCAGCTCAAGGTCTTACACKGAGGCCTGTTGAGTGCTGTACCTGATTGGAGTCAGAAGATTGAAAATAAAGTTTTAACAAGAAATCCAGTTGGATTCCTGTTTATTCSGACATACTATTTTGAACAACGCATATTTTTCTACAAATTGGTATGCCTCTCCCTGCCCTAAACAAGTCTGCCTTTGAAAAGAAAAGGCCAGTTTTATTTTACCAACCCTCATAAAGGAACTTGACCTTTGACCATTTGATGAGTCAAATGGAGTTACTATGCCTATTTATAAGTAAATATATMATTTCACTCAGGAGGTATCGTGCACATAAGACCACCTGTGATGGACGGACACCACACTAACACACAGACAGCCAGAGAACAGTTTGCCTCCGGCCACAGTGGGCAGAGGCAAAAACAAAACAAAACAAAMACTAGTTAGCTCGTTGGTGCGTACCTCTTGAATTAAAGGAGGGTTAGCTGCTTTTTCTTCTTCTTCTTCTCCAGGTTTGTGTTCTCTGTGTGAGAGGTGAGAATGGATTTAGAATTATTTAAAAAAATTCAAACTTTTTTTTTCATTAAAATTGTGAGCAGAGATAAAATTACTCTGTGATTGATGAGGTCTCTTGCTGAGAGGCGTCTTGCAGAGGCTTAAAACTGTCCCCTCTCGGCTCTTCCTCCTCTTCATCATCAGATAAAACGATAACTTCCGTCTCRGGCTCTACCAGGATCAGATCAGGAGTGTCTGATCGGACGAGGTTCCTCTCTGGTTGCTCCTCGTTTTCACTCTCCTCCCGACTCGCGCCGACRGTCTGAGCTGACAAACGACCTGCCTCCTGCTCTTCCTCTCGGCAGCTCTGCTTCACAGTTTGTTTATTTGTAAAATACTGAGAAATGTTGCGGGAAGTCTTTGCAGCTTCTGCCATCTTCTGCTGCTTCYTGCTCACGGCTCTGCCTGCTTTTGTCGGGCTGCTCAGAGACGCACCGACGGCAGAGGCTCTGGCTCTGATTGATGATATGGACTGCATCGTTTCAGTTTTCGCCTCTTTTATTCTCTCCCCAGCGTCTTTAACATCTGATTCCTCTGCGCTGTCACTGAAAAATCCACTGTTGTCTGTCTGCTTGGCACTGGGAAGGTGGTTAGAGAAGCTCCCCCAGCCCGCTCCCACTCTTTTTCGCTTCATCTGTAGCAACAGTGGAGGAAATTACAAAACAAGTTGCCATTTTTTCCACCCAACTTCAAAAGCAGTTGACTGTACGAGAGCGCTCTTACAGAGTAGATCTCAGACGCAGAGGTGAACCCCTGTAGCTGCTCGGGATATAAAGAAGAAGAAGGTGGATCTTCCTTGGGTTTTGTCTCAGCTTCTCTTGAATCGCTGCTGCCTCGTCGCTCTCCTCCCCCTGCTGAAGCAGCTTTCGTCATCTCAGATACCTTCAAAGAACAAGCAAAGTTAGCCGTGAACAGTTCAGGTTTTTGTTTATGACACATAAAAGGTTTTCAGACACCTTCTTTAAGATAGCAGCCTTATATAAGTTGAGGGATTTGCTGTTTTTGAAGACCTCGTGTTCGATATCCACCGCTAACTTCAAACTGTTACAGCTGCAGGATGGAGAAACAAATGGTTAGAAGGAAATCTGGTGATAAACTAGTTTTATTTTACAACCCTAAGTTGGGATGTCCTGTAAACCATTAATAAAAACAGAATATGATKATATGCAAATCTTCTTCAACCTATATTCAATTGAATACACCACAAAGACACGACATTTAATATTTGAATAAACTTATTTTTTAACAAATATTGGCTTATTTTGAAATTTGATTAGTGTATTCAATTGAAAATAGGTTGAAAAGGATTTGCAAATCATCGTATTCTGTTTTTACTTGTTTTAAACTTCACTAGAATTAGTGTCTAATTCAAGCATAGTGGTGAAAGGTTTGTCAGCAGTCTTACTATAATGCATTTCCTGCCCCCTGCTGGCCTTGCAGAGCCTCCTGCAGCCGCTGCAAGCAGTGCTCTCGGGTCTGAAATGTAAAAAAGAAGGTTCATAAACGGTCCAAAAACTACAGGAAACAAAAAAAATTAGGTGTTCTTAAGAGACCTAAGAGACTTAAAGGGATCCATGATTAGTTGTAACATTAGACTTTCTTTGATAAACATAAATTTTAACAGTAAAATAAAGACTAAAAATACTGTAG